CTTGGTGTCCTGTTCTCGAGGCGCCGGGGGTGTGAGCCGGAAAGTATCCGAGGCTGGGTCCCAGCTGATGCCAAGCTCGCTGACGAGGCCGGCGTCGCTGAGTTCACGCCACGTAGGGCGCAGGCAAGCTTCCTGGTTGAGGTCAGCCAGAAGTTCGGCGTCATTGGCGACCCATTTCCGGAGTGGAAATCCGCCTGAGCGCAGCAGACCAATTACTTGATCCCGAAGCTGGCGTGCCGTTTCGAGGTCATCGGCACCCGAGAGGATGTCATCCACGTACCGATCGTTCATGACGACAGGTACGGCGTCCGGCCACAAGTGTCCTTCGTCATGGCAGAGTTGTTGAATCACACGCAGTGACAAGTAGGGCGAGCAAGTCGCGCCATAAGTGACGGTGCGCAGTTGATAGTGTACAGGTGGCTGACTCGGATCGTGGCTCCAGACAATGCGCTGAAGGTCTCATGATAATTATTAGGATAATGGAGATTATATTTATGATAATAATAATGAAAATAATAATGATAATAATAATGATGTTGATGGTAATAATGACAAAAACAATAATGATTTAATAACAAAGAGAATCTAATAGATTGTTTGAGACACTCTTAATTTATTAAATACAAGGGAAGCGGACCCGGCGACAAAGAAAAGCGCACTTTTCTGCGTGCTGTGCTCTGCTGATATTGTTGGTGAACTAGCTGTCTCGAGCGGCTTGTTGGCTGCTGACGGTGTGGCTTGGCTGGCAGAGGCGTGTAGCTGGCCAGCTGATGCGTGAACCTGTAGATCAGGAGACAAACTGAACTGGTCCTGGCACAGGCCGTTGATGCCAGCGGCAGCGGCATAACGAAGCGCCAAGACGATCAGGAGGGGGGCCTGACCAACAGTATATCGTCGAACGAAACATCCGGCCTGCCTCGTTCCAGGAACAAAAATTCAAGTCCCGCCCGCCGTATCCAGAGCGGTTTCGCCTCTGGGCGATGCAGGCTGAGAGGTGGTCTGGGTTATTACCAGAAGCAGCTTGACTTTCGTGATTGGCCTGGTGTATTCTCCCCTCGCCGGTTAGACGGTCACAGTGCGTACGAGGCTGTCTGGGCCAGGGTGAACGCCAGTTATGTGGCGGAAAGGCTAGCAGCCGTCGGTCGAGAGCAGAGATAAGTCAAGGACGGTGACGATATCACCCAACGTCAGGTTCCGATGAGGGGTGATACACTTCGATCGCTGTTAAAGAGTATTAAGATACTCCCGACTCCATCGGGCACAGAATTGCGCTCTGATGCCTCGGACAAGCTCCCAGTGAGCCAGATGGTCGAGATCCTGATTGGGTGTTGCAGCCTCAATAATTGAATTAAGGGGTGCTCCGATGAGGAAGTGACCGGGGGTCAGCATGCCCAGGTCGTCCGTGTCGCCCGACAGTGGAGTGAGGGGTTGGTTGTTGAGGACAACTTCGATCCCAACTAAGACGGTTGAGAACTCCTCGTACGTCAGGTGCCGTGAGCCCATAACTCGTCGGAGATAACCTTTGATGGACTTGACCACGGCCACCCAGAGACCTCTAAAGTGAGGTGCCCCGAGTGGAATAAAATGCCACTCTATACCTTGATCCGCTAGGGCACCTGCAATGAGATCCCACCTGTGCTCAGCAAGACGAAGTGCATCGCGCAATTTGGTGTCAGCTCGATGGAAGCACATCACGTTGTCGGTCCAGAGTTCAGACGGTCTTCCCCGGTGACCAGAGAAACGGGTGAGAGCCGCAAGAAAGGAGACGGTTGATAGATTGCCTACGAGCTGCAGATGTAGTGCCTTCGTGGTGAGACAGACAAATATGGCGATGTAACCCTTCGTGGTGCGAACGCCTCGGCCCTTAGCTGCGAGGACGTGGAACGGCCTGGTGTAATCGATCCCAGTGCGACCAAAGGCGCGGAAGAGAGTAACTCGTGACCGCGGGAGAGGAGCTATCAACTGGATAGCTGATCGGGCTTGGAGGCGAGCACAAGTAACGCAACTGCGTAGGAAAGCCTTGACTTTCCGGAGCCACCGATGATCCAAGCACGCTTGACGGTATACGCGCTGGTCGTGCAAAAGCCCCCGTGGAGCGCTCGGTTATGGGCCCATGCGATCGTAAGCGTGGCAAGAGGGCAAACGCCATCAAGGATGGGTGGGTGTCGCTCGGAGAAGGTCATCTTAGCGTGCTGGAGGGGACTGCCCACACGCAGAACGCCGTCTGTATGGACAAAGGCTGCGAGCGATGTCAGTGGGTGCCACTTAAGAAGGGCGTGGCTCGTGTAAAGCAGTGCAAATTTATTAGAGAAGGCGCGCTGCTGGCTCAAGCGCATGCAAGCGAGGTAGGCTTCGGTCAACTCGGTAGCCGTCGGTGCTGAGAGCATCGGTAGTGTAGGGGCTTGGCCGAGATGGAGTCTCGCCCACCGACGCAGGTGGGTGAGGGTGCGCAGGAGGACGCCTAGATCGGAGAACAGTTGGAGAAGGTCGAACTCGACCTTTTGCCTGACGCTGCAGAGGCGAGGAGGTAAGGGCTGTGGCGGCTCGGAGGGCTCTTGGGGCCAACGATCAGGGCCTTCGAACAGCCAGGAAGGGTCAGTCCACCATGTCTGCTGGCGGTGTAGAGTCTGGGCATCGGTGCCCCGAGACGCCACATCGGCAGGATTGTCATGAGTAGGCACATTGCACCAGATGTGCGGTGGCAGTACCCCCTGGATGTGGGCGACGTAGTTTTCGACGAGAGCGTGGTTGATCGGCTTGGCGGAGCGGAGCCAGCGTAGAACGACTTGGGAGTCGCACCAAGCGTAGCAGTGCTTAATAGAGATGTTCCACTCACTGACGACCAAACCCAGCAGTTTCGCAGCAAGCAGCGTGGCACGCAGCTCAAGGTAAGGGATTGCCATGTGGGCCTGAGGAGTGGCTGACGGCTTGAGGCTTCAGATGGTCGCAAGTTTCGTCTTGGCCAGCAGAATGTGGCAGCGGACTTGTCCTGAGGAGTCCTGCAGCTGGCGTCTAAAAAGGCGTGAAGGTGAATCTTCGTTGGAGCTGAAGATCCAATACAACGTGGAATGGAGAAGCCTTGAATTGATTTCAGCTCAGTGGTGAAAGCTGACCACCGACGAGCCATTGATGCAGGTACAACCTCATCTCAATCTAACTGGGTGCGCCAGAGATCCTGTACAAGGAGCTTGGCTTGGAGTATGGTTGGTGCGAGCTAACTGCAAGGATCGAAGAGGCTCGCAAGACCAGCAAGAATGCTCTGCTTAGTGTCCTGTTTTTGGGCTGCTGGGGGTGTGAGCCGGAAAGTATCCGAGGCTGGATTCCAGCTGACGCCAAGCTTGCTGACGAGGCCGGCGTCTCTGAGTTCACGCCACGTTGGGCGCAGGCAAGCTTCCTGGGTGAGGTCAGCCAGAAGTTTGGCGTCATTGGCAATCCATTTCCGGAGTGAAAGTCCGCCTGAGCGCAGCAGGCCGATTACTTGATCCCGAAGCTGGCGGGCTGTTTTGAGGTCATCGGCACCCGAGAGGATGTCATCCGCGTACCGATCGGTCATGACGACAGGTACGGCGTCCGGCCACAAGTGTCCTTCGTCATGACAGAGTTGTTGAATCACACGCAGTGACAACTAGGGCGAGCAAGTCGCGCCATAAGTGACGGTGCGCAGTTGATAGTGTACAGGTGGCTGACTCGGATCGTGGCTCCAGACAATGCGCTGAAGGTCTGCGTTTCAAGGGTCGATCCAGATTTGGCAAAACATCATCTGGACATCGCTGCAAAAGGCGACGCGATGTCTTCGCCACCGTAGCAGGACTGTTGGTAGTGCGGCCTGGAGTCTCGGCCCGGAGTGCAGGATGTCGTTTAGGCTGTTGCCACTCAAGGTTGGGTGCGAGGCTTTAAACACGACGCGCAACTTTGGTCCAAGGTCCCCATGTTGCCAGATGCCGTGGAGCGGAACGTAGCAGACCGTGCTGCTCGGTTTGGAGAGCTCTCGGCTGAAGAGCCGCTTCATATAACCGAGGGCGAGGTACTCGCTCATAAAGCGGTTATATTCGGTCGCCATCCTTGAGTCCCGCTGGAGACGACGGTGTAGAGATTGCAGTGAAGCCAGGGCGCTAGCTAGGCTATCGCCGAGGAGTGGTGCAGCATTGGGCTTCATAGACAAACGCACGATATAACGGCCGTCCGCGTCGCGCCGGTAGTTGGAAAAAATCCGCTTGCAGTCGATGTCATCGGGCGCGCAGCGGCAGACGGAAGGCATCTCCTAGTTCCTAAAAGCTCTGGAGTAGCATGATGAGCTCGCGATGCCAGAATGGAGCCAGCTCATCGTGCAATGTCGGACACGCAACGGCGCTGTCCAAGGGGAGCCCAGGAGCACACCCGACTAGAGTCCAGCCGAGTGCTGTATGCTGACCGACAATCTCTCCACGCTGATGGTACCCAGGGCGCAGCAGACGGTTGTAGACCTCAGCGCCGATGAGAATATCGACCGCACGAGGAAGGCCAAAGTCGGGGTCGGTGAGGTCCTGCAGGCTGGTCCAGACTCGCAGGATGCTGGGGTCAAGTGGGGCCGCAGGAGTTGAAAGACCGAGGTGGGGTATGCATAGCGCCTTCAGATGCAAACTGGGGGTGCCATCCCCTGACATCAGGCGCAGGCTGGCGCGTAGTGTCGACCTTACGGCGTGTTCGCCACCGATGCCTGATACGCTGGTTCTAGAATTCTTCAAGGGGGCCTTTAGGTGGTGAGCGAGCTTGAGAGAGATGGCCGAGATCTCAGAGCATGGGTCGAGGAGTGCTCTTACGGTGACGAATGGCCCCCGGCCGCTGCTGAGTTAGACGAGCGCGGTCGGAAGCACCGCGAGTCATTTCCGGGACTCATCAGGAGTTTTGAGGAGATCGGAGCTGGTCGGTTTCGCATGCTTGGGTGGGTCCGAAGGAGCTTCAGACCGTCGCTTACGGCTGTCGTGCAGCAGACTGTAATGCGCTGCCCAGCAGCGCTGACAGACCGACTTGGAGGGGCAGTCATGCAGGGAGTGCCCTGGCTTCAGGCAGTTGAAGCATCACTTCTCCTGGAATACGATGTGCATCTTGGTGGCTGGATTCAGATCCTGGAACTGACCACAATGCCCAAGATAGTGGGGTTTGTGACAAGCCGGGCAGTTTTTTGGGGCCTCCTGGGTCGTGAGGGAGCGGAAATTGCGCCCTGTGTGCGTTGCGGAGGGCCCTCGTGAGCCGGCGAAGCCAGCTGAGCGTGCTAGATAAGAAGCCTCTACGGAGCTGAGAGTGTGGCATATGCGCCACAGAAACGCAGCCTGCATAGTAAAGGTGGCCCAGGAATCACCGGGCACGTCACTGGATATCTCCAGCTTCTCCAGCTCGTCTTTTTAAGCACGTCTTGTGGTGGCGTCCATACCCGTTGCTGCAAATCCAATGAACCAATCATCCCAGGAGGTGACAGGGTGGCCGAGAGCACTAAGCTGATCGCAATGACGTTCAAGCGTGTCCAACAGCGCTTGGAGACCTCCGGCTGACTCGTCCCGCAGAGGCTTGATATTGCGGAGCACCGCAACGTGGTCCTGCACGAGGATCCGCCGATGCTCATAGCGGGCCTCGAGTAGGCTCCAGGCTGTTGGGTAGTTGGACCCAACAATCTGCTCGGAGTCCAAGACTGCCTCGGCATCGCCTTGAGTGAGTGACTTTAAATAAAAGAGTTTCTCAACGTCCGTTAGCTCCTTGTCATCGTGTATGAGTGCTCAGAACAGGTCCCTGAAGGTTTCCCAGTGCTCTCGTTGCCCCGAGAAGGGCGGGATGGTGATCGTAGGCAACTTGGGCCCACGATGTAGTGCCGGTTCTTTGGCTGGGCGGATTTCCCCGTTGGCCCCGGGTGGGGCTAGTGTGAGCCGAGCGTCATACAGGTGTGACCAGGCATTGAAGAAGTTGGCCTCTGCGGCAGCGTATATGTCGTCCGCGGCGTCGCCGTGTTCAGTGGTTTCTGCGGTCAACAGACCCACATGGTTGGTCTGGAGGTCATTTCAGTAGGCGTCCAAGAGCTTAAGCCGAGCCGTGACGAGGTCTGGGGTCAAGTGGCTTGTCTCAATGGCCATTACAGCGGCCGTGAACCGAGCTATGACGTCGCCAAGCCGTTGTTGGGTGGCAAACAGGGCTGACCCCTGTCCGGTTGCCCTGAAAATCATAAATACAATGAGTTCGACGTTGAATCATCAACGGAACTCAAGGCGGACGCTTCTTGATTGGTTATAAGTCGCTCTGCTGAGCCAACTGCTTTGAAAGCGAGGTGATATGGCGCCAGGCGCTCGGAGAGGATGACTACTCTGCGAGTGAGGCAGCAAGGTGCTAGACGACGTCAAGTGAGCAGCCAACATGGTGGTCCCAAGCGCACGTGCACTTGCGAGCGCCAGTCAGCGACGCCTGTGATATGGCGGCCGTGGTGGCTGACGAACGAGAACCATGGCTTCCACGCAATCCGTATCATGGGCAGCGTGGCGGCCATGACCTCCGGCTACATAAATTAACGCGCGTGGACGTGCAAAACACGCGCATTAACACAAGACGCAGGACTTAATGCATACTTACATCGTGCCAGCTTTTCTCTCCTTGTTGCTGAATCCAGCTCAAAGGACCAATAATTAAAAAACTCTTTATTTATTGAATACAAGGGAAGCGGACCCCGCGTCAATGAATAGCGCACTTTTCTGCGTGCTGTGCTCTGCTGATATTGTTAGTGGACTAGCTGTCTCAAGCAGCTTGCTGGCTGCTGACACTGTGGCTTGGCTGGCAGAGGCGTGTAGCTGGCCAGCTGATGCATTAACCTGTGTATCAGGAGACGAACTGAACTGGTCCCTGCACAGGCCGTCGATGCCAGCGGCAGCGTTGTAACGAAGCGTCGAGACGATCAGGAGGGGGACCCGACCGACGATATATTGTCGAACGAAACATAGATAATGATACTAATTATGATGATTATGTTTATAACAACAATGATAAGGATAACGATAATATTAATGACGATAATAATCGTAATAATGACTTAAATGGCAATGGTTATGATGATAATGATGATAATAATAATAATGATGATGATGATGATGATAATGATGATAATAATGATAATGATGATGATGATAATCACGATGACTGTTTTTATGATAATGACGATAATAAAAACGAGAACCATGATTATAATGAAATTGATAATGATTATAATAATGAAAAAAATAATAATAACGTTAACTTAAACAAGAATAATAATAATGATAATTATAATTTCTTTGATAATGATAATTATAATGTCTATAACGATAATGATAACAATGATGATGAAATAATAATAATGTTGATTTTAATAATGACAGTAAAACTAAAAATAATAATAATAATAATAATAATAATAATAATAATAATATTAATAATAATAATAATAATAACAATAACANGACTTTAAAAAGATAATGATATTGATAACGATAAATTAAATGATGAGCATAATGAGAACAATGTTAATATAATGATGATGATAAGTATGAGAGTGAAGATAAAGACAACAATTATAATGATAATATTGACAATGATGATAATGATGATAAAAAAAAATTACAGTTATAATAATGATGGTAACGATATCAATAATAGTGAATTTGATAACGATTCTAATATTATCATCATATGTATAAATACGATAATAAGGATAATAATAATTACAATGACGATAATTATAATGATAATAACTTTAATAATGATAAAAATAATAATAATGCTGATGATTATGGTGATTATAATAATAATAATGACTATGCCGTTTATTATTCCGATTACAATGATACTTACAATATCGATAATAGTAATAAAGATGGTTATAAAAAAATAGTTATAATAATGATAACGATAACGATAATGATAAAAACAAAAAATAAATATAGTAATGATAATGGCTACGATAGTAATATTAATTATGATGACGTCTATAGCAATAATGATGACAATATTGATAAAAAAGATAATGATAATAATAACAATAATAATAATGATAATAATAATAATAATACTTAATAGGATACCGAAAATAATTCTAATTAGGCTGATAACGATAATTATAATGATTATGATAATTACGATAGTAATGACAAAAACGATGATAATAAATAAAATAATGATAGTGTTACTCATAAAGATAATGACAGAAACTATGATTATAATGACAACATTGATAATGACAATGTTAATGATAATGATTATGTTGTTGATAAATAAAATCATGATGGTCATCAAAGTAATGATAATTAAATTGATAATTATAACAATAATTATATAAATAATGATAATGATAGGTAAATAAGCTATAAAGATAATGACGATGATGATAATAATTATGATGATAATGTCTGTAGTAATAATATCTTAGTTATTTATGATATTTATATAATTGAAAATGATAATAATTATAATAATTTTAACCAAAATAATGATAATGATGATGTTGATGATAATAATGATAATGATGATGATAATAATGATCATAAGGATAGTAAAAATGATTATAATTTTACGGATTATGGTGATGATTATCATGATAATGGTAATGATGAAGATGATGATGATAATGATATAAAAAATGATGATAAAGAGGATGATCATAATAATAATAATAATAATAATATAGTCTAAAATGATGATGATGACAAGCATGATGATAATAATGATGATAAGAGTTAAGATAATAAAAATAGTGATTATAATAATAATAATAAAAAAAAAACTTTTTATCCTGCCTAATGGGACGAAAGTACTTTTTTCAGAGCAGTATAGTGAAAATTTCTGTTTCATTCCGCATTACATGACTGACAATTTTTACATGAATTATATATATCATAGCATACATAGAGGTACTTAGAATGCCCAAATTATAACATAAATAATTTATCAAGGTATACGTATTCTATAAACGCCTAAGCTAAAATACAAAAAATTATTATAATTTTCACTATTTTAATACAGGATTTATAAAGATTCATCAAAATAAGGTGTACCTTAATTTTTATAGTTCTTATTATATTGAGCTTTATAATTAAGTTGTAAGTTTCATTTTTGCCAAGGGTCCCAAAACCCACACTTAATTCTCTTTTGTCTAATAAATATAAAAAACAACACCTGCAGTAGTTTCTTGATCAGATCAAGAGAAAAGTGACTTTTCTTTTGTTTAAATTTAAGGAGCCACTCTTATTATGTAACACTAACTTATCTATA